GAGAGATTTTCACTGTAGGGCGCGTGCGCTCGCCAGACAGACAGAGAGAGACATAGAGACAGAAAGCGAGAAATCACCCCCCAGGGGGGATGGTCACGCCGCAATCCCTTCTCCTCCATTCTCCTCCCGGGATCTTGGGCACGCACGCACACGCGCCCGGCGTGAGTTTTAAGCCACCGGGTCCGGGACACGAACTGCGGTCGACTACGTGGGAGTCCAGCGACATAGCCATTACGCTAACTGCTGGTTCCCTCCATTTTCCTCTCTGGATCTTGGGCATGCACACACACATGCCTGGTGTGAGTTTTTATTTTTTAAAAAAATTATTTTGTTTAATTTATCATCATCATGATTATTAGTTTAATTTGACCATAGGCAGACAGAGAGAGAAAGGGAAAGTAGGAAAGCAAGCCTCCAAGTCCGGGACTCAGACTATGGCACAATATCTCTAATTACACACATATTTACTGAGTGGTGCTGTGAAAGTTAAATAACTCTTTCGAGGAACTGTGAAATTACACAAAACAAGCAAGTGATGTCCTTTCAAAGGAAATGTTCTTAATTCAGAACAGTGGCCTTTAGTAATGCATGTGCTCTGTGTCCCCTCACTGACATATAAACTCTCCTTTCCACAGGTCGCCTTGGATTCAGTGACCTGTGTTTGGGGAATCAAAGTGGAGAGAACAGAAATGTGGGTAGGAAGTTAATTGGAAGAATGACATGATATGGGGAAATCATTTGGTTTCATTTAAAAATTTTCACTTGAAAATTATTTTTTATTGTGTACTATAGCCACATTAACAAAAATGTGGAAAAAAGAAACATACTTTTAAATATTTCATAGCCATAATATAGGCACTGTAGCAGTTAAGCAGATTGCTCTCATGACCTTTTCATATGCATTTTAAAATACGTTCTAGATAAAAATCATAAAATGGCCATTTCAAGCATTTAAAACTTGCCAACTCAGTGGTTTTAACATATTTACAAAGATGTGCAACCATCATTAGTAAATTCAAAACATTTCATCACCTCAAAAAAGAAAGACTAGGGACCAGCAGTTGTGTAATGGCTATGTTGCTGGACTCCCATGTAGTCAACCAGGGTGTGAGTCCCGGACCTGGTGGCTTAAACTCACGCCAGGAGCATGTGCGTGCATGCCCAAGATCCAGGAAGGAGAATGGAGGAGAAGGGATTGCAGTGTGGCCATCCCCCCCTGGGGGGGGGGGTGATTTCTCACTTTCTGTCTGTCTCTCTCTGTCTTCTGGCAAGAGCATATGCCCTATAGCAAAAACCTCTCAAAAAAAAAAAAAAAAAAGCCTATTCTTCTTACTATTTTTCTTTCTTTAGGTTTTTGCTGTAGGGCACATGCACTTGCCAGAGAGAGACAGAGAGAGCGAAAGTGAGAAATCTTCCCTGAGGGGGATGGTCACACTGCAATCCCCTCTCCTCCATTCTCCTCCCAGCATTTCGGGCACACATGCACATGTGCTCAGTGTGATGTTTTAGCCACAGCTGGCCATGTGGGAATCCAGCACCTTAACCACCCTGTCCCCTGCTGGCTCTGCCTGTTATTTTTTAAGGGTGTTTTTGTTACTTCCATGAACAAGAGAGAGAGGGATACGCGTTCCCAACAGTGTCTTCATACTTTGATTCACCTTCCAGCTTCAGTCAGCTCTGTTCACGGGTATGTGTGTGCCTGAATATTCAGGGGTCTCTGACTATGAGCCTAGAACCTCCCAAGGTGGGTCTCGCAGTGCCTCGTGTTCCAGCTGTGCCACCATCCAGCCCCCTACAAAGCCTGTACCTATTAAATAGGAACTCGTGTCCCCATCACCATTCAGCCCCTTGCAACCATTAGTTTAGTTTCTGTTTCAATGGCTTTGCCCATTCTCAACGTTTCACATAAATGGACCCATAGAATATGTGGTCTTTTGTGTCTGTCTGTCTTTCCATTTAGAATAGTGTTTTCAAAGTTCATTCATGGTGTAGCATGGATCAGTACTTCATTCCTTTTTATGCTTGAGTAATATTTCATTCCATGGTTCTTCTGCATTTTATCTGCTCACTACTTAGTGGACGTTGGGTTGTTTCCACTTTTTAGTGATAAAAAAATAATGCTACAGTGAATATTTATTTGCAAGTTTTTGTGTGAACATGATCTCATTTCTCTTAGGTGTATTCCTGGGAGTGGAATTACTGGGTCACATGGTAGCTCTGTATTTAACTTTTTGAGGAGAACTGTCCAACCATTTTCCATATATGCATTCTTGATAGTTATAATCAGGGTAAAAAGACAATTTTGTGTCTTTTAGGCAATACTTTAAGTATTGGTCCTGTTTGGTCACAATCTCCTGTAAACATAGATGAATGCTCCTTATCTTTGTTATTAATAGTGTGGCTCTGCAAGGCTGTTTTTCATTATTCAAATTTAATAGTTGAGGCTTGAATTACAACTTAACTGGCAAGAACGATCACAACTTATATGAGGAATAATAAAACCTGCACTTGAAGCACCATCGTCCCGCCTCAGAGGCAGCGGGATTGCACATTCTGTTAAGTCAGGATTGTCTACTCACCATGAATCCATAGGGAGGGCAGCAAGTCCGTTTGAAAGCCCGGGCTCCTACAAGGCCTGCTGCTTGCTCACCACCATCTCTCTCTTCCAGTAAGGACGTGAGGCTGCCAGCTGGGCTCCAGCACTCCCTGGCTGTGGAAGCCGAAGCACAAAGACAAGCCAAAGTGCGGGTGAGCCAGCACTGACTCTCCATTCTCTCACTGAGACCACTCTACAGAGCAGAGACTCCAGAGCAGGCTTGCTGCTCAGGAGAACAGTTCTCTTGACTTCCTTACTTTCCATGTCATCCATCACTAGGCAGTCGGCTTACGTCCCCGCCACTCTATTAACACTGTTCTCTGAAGTATGCTAACAGTCACTGGAACGCTCTCTGAAGCTGCTGGTAACACGGACTACCTCCTTTCCGAATCTTGCCTTGACTCTGTCGCCTTAAAGCATATTCTCCCTGTGCATCATCTCTCTTCTCTGACACTGGCATTGTTCCCTTAGTAGTCTCAGCCCCCTGTCAGCTGTAAGTTAGTGACCTCTGGGTTAGCCAGACCAGTATCCCTAGCTCTGCACAAGTTTCAGAGGGACAGCCATGATCAGGGCTCAGTGCCCTCAACGCCGGAGCCAGGAGAAGGCTATGCGATTCTTTGCCTCCACTCACATAGGCCAGGCAGAAGCAAAGACCTGGATGCCAGCAGCTCCTGAGGATGCCAGTGAGGGCAGGCCAGGATGCTGGGGAAAGGAAAACGAGGAGTGTGGGGAGGCAGGCTCTTTCAGTCAGAGAGGACGTAAAGAAAGAACCCAAATCACGTAAGAGGATCAGTGACTTTGGAGGGTTGAGGAGGGGAGGAATGGGGAATGATGGCTCTCTGAGCAGAGTTGCTTCTAAATCCCTTAGCCTAGACCTCTTTCCCACTTCCAGGTAGCATTTCAGTGCTGAGCTTGGAGCCCTGTCTTCTGAAACACTCATTCCTTTTGCCCAAACAGGGAGTTACCTTTTCATAATTTCATGCCTTTGCCTGGAATGCTGGCCAACCTTTTCTCCATCTGGAAAATCCTACCAATCTTTCGAGGCCCACCAGTTATCAATATAACACGCCTAACACTTGATTTATATTTGCCATAGCTCTTAACAAGTTCTACCTTCAATAATGACTAAGAGTTGGATCTGTCTCCCAGAAAGAAGACTGACTGCTGTCCTGTGTGTAACAGTGCCTGCCACAGCAGATGCCTGGTGCATGTTCGCTGGCTCACACTGCGTAATGATTAAACCTTCACGGAATAAAGAACAGTCACTTCACTTTTCTTCACATCTCTTTTCTAGATGATCGCTGCAGAAGGGGAAAAGGCTGCCTCTGAGTCCCTGAGGATGGCAGCTGAGATTCTCTCAGGCACCCCAGCTGCTGTTCAACTTCGATACCTCCACACCCTTCAGTCTTTGTCCACAGAGAAACCTTCTACTGTGGTTTTACCTTTGCCATTTGATCTGCTAAATTTCCTGTCTCCTCCCAGCAATAAAACTCAAGGAAGCATCCCTTTCCCAAATCACTCCAAATATGTTGAGCCACTAAATCCTAAAAAGAAAGATTCTCCCATGTTATAGGGGGGATAGGGAACGGATAATGTACTGTAAAGGGCCTTCCATCTGAAAGTCACATCCTGAGTAAGTAGTCTATCCTCACACCCTGCCTCCTCTTTGCCATATGGAAATCCCTTATCATGCATGAAGTCACAATGCATGTGTATAAATTTAAGTGGGTGGTGTAATCAGAGTACTTACGAGAATGAGCTTTAGTGACCATTCTACTTTGAAAGGATTGGAAATCTAGATGTGGTTACATTGTGACTCCTGAAAACTAAGTCTAGATGTCCTACAACGACAGCCCGTATTTCTCACACCTAACCCTGATATTTGCACCATAGTGACATTCCTGAGTCAGTGGAAGAAAAAGAGATGTACTTGGGTTAGACATAAAATTTACCTAATTAAAGAATTTAAGAATTATTCTTATGGAGACTCCTTTGTAATTTTTTATTTGGTTTGTTTATTCCATGAGTGAGAGAGAGGTAGAAAGAGAGAGAGAAATAGCACCTCAGGGTGTTGATGCCATAATACCCCTACCTCACCCCCAGCCTTCAGTCAGGCCTAGATCATGGGCTGGCATGAGCCTGGTATACTCCAAGAGGTCTCCAGACTTGAACTAGTAACCTTCCCTTGTGGGTCAGCCTCACAGGGCATCATATTTTATTGCTGCACCACTGGCCCCTATGGAGGTTCCTTTTAAAAATAAATAAATAAATAAATAAAAGAACAAAAGCATGTGTCCAATACATGTTTCTTAAAATCTGAGGAAAAATCGCTATAAATTGGGACCCAAGAATAATATATTTTTGGTCTAAAATTTACCAGCTCATTGACATCTTCCAACAGTAGTAACATTATATTACTGCCATGAAGTATTCTTTTCTTCTACAGACATGTCAACATATTCCAATATATAATTATTATTTTCCATTAATTTTCTTTATACAAATAGAAATGCATATCTACAGAAAATAGTAAGCCAAGCAAATAAGAAAGCATAACTAAGTATATAGCTAATTCTCAATAAACTTAGAAAAAAATCAGTAACACTATAAAACATCACTAACATTACTAAAACAACATGAGGAAAATGTTACTGCTACTGGGAATTTCTGTGTAGCTGGCACAAAGAGATATGGTAGTAACTCACATAGACTTCACTATTTGGTTCTCTCCCCATCAAATTACCTCTTCACTCTCCATATTCTCTCATTATTTTACACTGGAGACGTGTTCTTTTTATTCTTCCATATAACCCTGCACTGTGAACATTTATTTCAATGAGAAAATGCATCTGAAGGGGCCAGCAGGTGGCGTGGTGGTTAAGAGTGCTGGACTCCCACATGGCCAACTGTGGTTTGAGTTCTGGACCTGGCGGCTTGGTTTCTCACTTTCCCTCTTTCTCTTTCTCACTCTGTCTCTCTCTAGTCAAATTAAAATAAATAAATAAAAGTTAAATAATTCTTAAAAAGAAAAAAAAATGCATCTGAGTTACTCACAATGGGCCAAGAAACATTTGTAGCATTTTGGTCTATTGGAAACAGACTATTTTCTGCTTTAAGTAATAGAAACAAGGTCCAAGAGGATGCTCTCCCTATCCTACAGCTTGGGAAGACCAAGGTCAAGAGGAAAATGTAGTCAATGTGTGCTGCAAAGTACCAGAGAAGTGGCCTGACCATGGTCAAGTCAGTGGGATCAGTCATGTGAATGGGAACAGATCTCTGGGGTAGAATCTCCTGATACCCAGGGGTGTGGAGTCACCGTGGATGTGTGGTGAAGAACCAGTCTGGTAGATGAGGTGTTGCCCACCAAACTTTCTAATGTTCCCTTCGTACACTATGGCATGCACCTAAAAACATCATCACCCAGCTCCACAGGGACACAGAACACACTGCCACTTAGATTGGGGGCTGGGACAAGAGTGGGATGAGGTCAACCAGTCTCCTTTCTACTGGAAGGCCAGGGCACTTTCTAGAGATGAGGAGGGCATAGCCCTTGCCTGGACATCAGAGCACAGGGCAGCTGATTTCCCATGATACAAGCATAACAGCCTCACCCAATAGCCTGATAATCAGTGATAGATAATAGGAGTTCCTTCTTCCACTGTACCCGGGAGACCCTTAGGGGCATCTGGAAATGGTGTGGCAGGGTCTCAAGGGTAACCTCAAACTTTCTACAAGTCAGTTACTTGGGAGAGTGGAGCTTCCCAGTCTAACTTGGGAAAGCAGCAGTACAAATGCCTCCTCATTTTTAAACTACTCATATTCATTATATCTTTCTAGTATCACTCTGACTCAGGAGAGAGTCACTTCCTTTCTCCATATTGTGGAACAGTAGAGCAAGGTGTTCTGTTCCTTTAAGGAAGCCTGAGAGAAGTCCTAAAGTCTTCTCTCCATCTCTGGTACATCCATAGGATGGTTTATACCAACGAGGCAGCCTTTCTCTCTTCAGTGGAACTCTGAGACTTGGGCAGAATAATACAAGGGTAGAAGAAATGATTGGCGTTTGTTCAATAGTAACATTGCAGTGAGATAGTGAAGCAATGATTGTGCTTGAGATCTTGTAAAACTACTTGGTTCCTATCTCTTCCTGGCCTGGTTCTTTAAGATTTTCCTTCAGTGTCCTGAACTTTCCAACATCCTTTCAAAAATTATCCTTCTATTTGAGTTTGTAAGAGTGGGTTTCTGGGACCAGGAGATGGTGTAGTGGTTATGTCGCTGGACTCCCAGTTGCTGACTGCAGTTTGAGTCCTGAACCTGGTAGCTTGAAACAGCCCAGTGCATGTGCATGTGTGGTAGGACAGAGGAGAAGGTATTGTGGCATGGCCATCTCCCCTGGGGAGTGACTTCTCACTTTCCCTCTCATTGTGTGCCTCTCTCTTTCTCCAGTGAGCACATGTGCCCTAAGGCAAAAACCTCTTAAAAAAAAAAAAAAAAGAGTGGGTTTCTGTGGCTTAACCATCACTCCAGCTAACATAGGCACAGATGCTGAGCCTCTTCATCTAATCATGGTAACAGAGACATCACTTTGGCATTTTCAGACCAAGCCTATCACTCAGTGGAGCTGACATGGCGTCTGGCTTATTCTGATGGATGCAGTTCTCATATTCAGGGATGGGAAGGCTGTTGCTGATTTGTACTAACACAACCACTCATTAGGAAACCACTCAGTAGGAAAAAATTAAAAATTACTCTACAATCTCACAAAAAAAGTCCCCAGATTTTCTAGACTGATGCAGGAATCTCTTTGGGAATGAGCTAAAGTAGGGCGTATGTCCCTGCAGGTAGTAACTGTAAGCATGAGCCAGTTGCTTTAGCTCTGGTTGTCAGCTGGGCCATGAGTATAGCACACTCTCTGAAGAATTTCATGTTTTCTTCCTCCACCACCACAGAAGAGTAGAACTGACCAGACTTCATCTAGTAAGTTTAAGTATCAGCTACGCCTTTTTTCCTAAGCTTTATTTTTCTTTTTCAGTTCTTATTTATTGGCTTCTTCTATGAGTGAGAGAGACAAAGTCAAAGACAGAGGGACACAGAGAAAGAGAATCAGAGAGACATCATCCCCAGCATGGGTTCAAAGCCTCAGTTCATGCACATGTGCATGTGTACTTAGGGAGGGCTCTAGAAGCAAACATGAACCTTCCCATGTGGATCAGCCTTGCTGAGTGTTAACATTTTACCGCCATGCTACCATTGCCATCCCACCCACCCAAGCAGTGTTGAAACCCATCTCTAACGCACTTCGATGATGGCCGATGGTTGGTCTTGACTTAAATAAGGTTGGGGGCTCTGGAGTCAGCAGGTTTCTGAGGCTAAAGGAGCAGAAATATGTCTAACATTCTAGGAGACAAATCTAAAGTAATATTGAATGTGTGGAGCCAGCGCAGGTGTAGAAATCTTGCCTGTTATAGGTGTTGAAGTTAGAGAAAGGGCCAAGGAACCAACAGCAGTGAGGTTGGTGAAGCCCTTGCTGAACGATTGTTCAGAATGTCCATTTGGCATTTGCAACTTAGTTTTGTAGGTTATTCCATCTCTCATGCCTAGATGGATTCAGGGTCATGCAAAGAGCAGACAAATACAGCAATGCAAACAAAAAAATGGAGATTCTGGGTGAATCTTCAGTAACACAGTCCTCTGTGAACAGAACCATCTAAACAATAGCCTGGTGGCCTTCGTTCCTATCTGACAGTCTAGACTTGAGTCCAGCTGGGGGGGGGGGGGGGGGCTTTGACAGCAATCAGCTTTGTGATCCTGGACAGTCCATATAACCTTTCTGGGTCTCAGTTTCATCTTATGAGAAGTGGGGCTTATAACATCTCCCTGCCTACTTCGTAAGGTTATTGTGAAGACCAGATAAGTCATGAGAATGCCTGGAATCATAAGAATCGAAAATGCTGCAGATATGTAAGGGCATTATCAGGACCCTCTCTAAATTGAAAAAAATAATGTGTTCTATCTTCAGAGTTCAACCTCTTCAAAAGCATTATTTTCTTAACAAAAACTGACCTTTTCACATACCTTTGTTAAATCATTTGAAGAAGCTAGCAAACTTTTGCACAAGCTATTTTTAATTTGGGAAGTGAGCTGATGTACTGACTCTTACAGCCATCACTGTGACTTTCAAACAGAAAAATCCTCTGGGATTGGATGTCACGGCTTTTCTAGTAGCTGTTGCAAAGGGAGTCCATCCAGTTGAGCCACATTGTCAAGTCTAGATGACATCAGGGGATGTAGCCATTTGTGAACCCCAGTACTCTTGGATGCTACTTGGGCTTGACCTTTTGATTAGACTTACTCCGGGTTCGGGGTTTAATGTTGGGAGAACTGTCCTTGCGTGGTTCCTCTAAAAAGACAAAAACAATTTGATTATTGTAGTAATATTTTATATTTTATAGAGCTTTTTAACTATACAAAGCAGTTTTAAAATTTCATTCTGCCTGAGTAACCTCTAAGTTGCAAACAAGCTGTGAGTCAAAAATTTAGCTCTAAATTGGCTATTAGGATGTAGAATATATTTCACAAAGTGTAGTCAATTAATTACCTGAGTTCTGGGCACTGGGGCAGAGAATTATGTAGCCATGGAGCAAAGGAGAAAAAGAGTAAGAAGAGTTCCTCCTTCCTTCTTGTACTTATCCCAAACTTGTGGGAAAAAAATTCAAGGAGTGTTCATCTTTGGACCCTCCCTTTTCCATTCCTGAAGCCCTCTGCTGTCTCCTAGGCCTTTCTCTCCAGCCTCCTGTGCACGCCTCTACAAGAGCACCACCTGGGATGGAGTCAGGAGGCCTCTGGCCATCAGGCCTGCCTTTCCTGGCATGCCCATGAAAAGTGCTCCATGCCATCAGGCTTCTCAACTTGAATCTTTTAGACTGGTTGCTGCCACCTCCATTACACACTTGGTTGCCTTTGTTCATATCTTTTATTTATTTATTTATTTTTAATAATTACCAGAGAGTGTGTGCACTTGCTAGAGAGAAACAAATAGGGAGAGAGACAGAGAGAGAGAGAAGGTGAGAAGCCACCCCCCTCCCACCATGAGAAATGATCATGCTGCAATCCCCTCACCTCCATCTCTTCTTCCCTTCAGACTTCTGGGCATGTTCACACACACACGCACACACACACACACACACACACACACACACACACACACA